ATTCTGCGCATGCGTACATCTTTGACAATAATTTTTCAAGCATATTAATTAGCTGCAAGACAAAGAAGACTTCGGACCTCTTTGTCCCATATTCAATCAACAGACTTGAAAAATTTGTTCTACGACAAAAAACGGACGCATGTGATGCGGGGTCTACAATAGAAGTCTTAGCGGTCGTATGGTCTTAAGTCGTAAAATTGACCAATCATAGTCGATTATTCTTCTCATGACCGTTCTACAATAAACCATAAATCATAAATCAGAAATTAGAAGCTGGAAATTGATCAATCTCGTCAATTTTTTACTCTGATTTCTGATTTATAATTAATGGCTTATTGCAGAATAGCCATTCTATTCGACTGTAATTGTTTAATTTTCTACGATTTAAGATCCTTTAACTTCTGTTGTAAATCCCGCATTATATTGGTCTGAGGCCGTAAGACACGTCGGAGGTAAGGGGCTTCGCACAATAAAAAGAACAGGAAACAGAGAACAGAAAATAAGAATTTCAACTTATCAGAAATCATGAATTGTAAAATACACAGTTTTTGATAGATTAAAATTCTTATTCTCTGTTCTCTATTCCCTGTTCTTTTTATTGTGCGGAGCCCCTAAGTTCATTTCCTGGTATAATGGGACATAGAGTAAGTCCGTAAGCGATAAGAAAGTAGAACGTGTAGGAAATGGATTTCAACCACTTTATGCGGGGACTACAATAGAAGTCGTAGCGGTCGTAGGGTCTTAAGTCGTAGCGGTCGTAGGGTCTTAAATCGTAGAAAATTGACCAATCAATAGATTATTCTTTGATTATTCTTCTGATATTGAGCTGTGATTGGGCACCTACCATGTGATCGCGTTCAGCGGACTCAATTGTCACAGAGCGGATCCATGAGCACTCGCTATTGGATGATCTAAAAAAATACATTAATATTCGCTCCGCAATAGATGAATCTGAAGGCAAACAATATCATACATCAGGATATTAATAAATCATAAAATTAATATCAGTTTCTTAACTATTCTAATATTATCAGTTTCTTACTTTTAATGATTTAAATTTTTACAGTAACACGAATTTTTATAAGATCAGTGATCTTTAATAGCATTTCATCTGTGTCGGTAGCAATTTTCATGAATGAAGTTAGAAACATAATGATTGCGTTCAACGGACTCAACAGTTGAAGCGCTCAGTGCTATTAATGTATTCTTTCAAATTTAAAATACTGATTGGATGATCTAAAAGAATACACCAATAACAGCGAGTGCTTAAGTTACAGCGAGTTAGAAGAAGACTGAAGAGAGACGAAACCGTGCAGGAATATTATTATGTGATGAAAGAAATAGCTGCTAGAGGCAAAATAGAAGCAGAAGCACTCATGAAATACGTGATTGACGGGATTGAATTCCAGAAGACGCACAGGGCAAGATGATATTGTAGAGCTAAAAAATTGACAGAATTCAAGGAGAAACTTAAAGTATAAGCTTCCGAAAGCTCCGAATTCGTATTCGGAAGAAGAATAGAAAGAAGAGTAACGAGAGAGTTGTAAAATGGTGGAACACGTGTGTGGCATGGGGAACACGTGTGTGGCACGACGAAGCGTGAAGTGTGATTTGTGATTCTCTCCTGAATTGTCGTCCATCAATATTGACTCACCAAACATTCCATCATTGGATTCATCTTATTTCCTACAAATTTGGGATTTGCTTCTTCTTTACTCAAGTGTTGAGTTCATTGAATGCAAACAATAAAAAGTACAGGGCATAGAAATAAAAAATAAGAAATTTCAATCTATCAGAAATCACGTATATTAGAATGCACAATTTCTGATAGGCTGAAATTTCCGATCAAAAATATTTTATGCATGAGTATGTATAAATATATATGAACATACAAAAAAATAAAGAGTGCATTCGTTTACGCAGCAGTTAGCGCAGAGAGTATCACTTAATCCTTGTTTAATACTCAGTGAACAACAAGAATAAAATAAGAATAATATAAGATAATTATAAGAATAATTATAAGAATAATTATAAGAATAATATACTTCTACGCTAATCGTTGCGTAAACGAAAGCAGGAAAATATTTACACACGTGTATAATTATATATTAAATATGTTCATACATGTTCATTCCTCCTTTCTTTTATAAAATTACTTTTAGTGTAATAAAAATAATAATAATGTTAAAAATAATTAAAAAGATAGTTATCACACTATTTATTTCAGAAAAATCAAGTTTGATGTAAAAAATCTTATTTTCGTTTTTGCACTAAAATTTACATTTCTATGTAAAAATGAAAAAAGAGGTACAACCTCCAATGGCCTTGATCTTAACAAATGCTGTCCAGGTCATGATCATGAACATTCAAAAGGTTTTAGCCCTCGGTCAGACACCTTGGATAATGCTAATGTCGGTGATGCTGTAACTTGCAAGCCTTATAACTCAAAGAATACTTAATAAAAATTAACTTAATTTAATGATTTGGAAACCTCTCGAGATAATCTAAAAGAATGTGCAATAAAAAGTAGAGGGTTTCATTTAAAAAACTGAATGTAACTTTCAATTATCAACTATTCAAGGTCAAACTAATGATACCATCTTATGTCCCTCTCAATGCTATACAACTTTTGTCTGAAACATATTTTTCTAAGATCAAAAATAAGAAAGTTGTTGAAGGTGGGACATTAAAATGGGACACCCTGTATATGATTATACATATTTATGAATGTTTATGAATATTTATATATGTTTATACATATTTATACATAATCATGCATAAAAAATTTTTTACAGAGTTTTTATTACCTGTGTTCATTGCCTGTGCTTTTTATTGTGTTTCTAGCTTTATCTTCAATATATCACTTATACTTAATGTTCTATAGTTAAAATACTATAAATCGTGTCTTAATTACGATATTAGTAATCAGGAAAATCACATAGAAATCGCATAGAGCAAGTTGTACACATTTATATTAAATGTATAAGACGTTGTTACTTTCGGAAACAATGTACATTTACAAATGTATTTCGTTCGTTTCAGAGACATCTACAAAATGTAAAGATTATGCGTTTCGCGGGTTTCCTCCGTATCCAGATCCATTCTTATCAATATCATGCTGCGCCTCGCCCTAATGAAGTAGACTGTAAGGTTCACGAAACATTGGCATTCCAAGAATGGATCTGGACACGGAGGAAACCCGTGAAACACATAATCTTTATATAAAAAGCACCCGTGGAAGTCTCAAGAATATTATCTACAAAATATATAGTTTTCTAGTATATGTATTATATCTGTTGAGTTGTGTTGTGTTGTGTTGCTTTACAGAGCAATTTCACACTACACAACTCAACAGATATAATACATACGTTCAAGATGAAGAGTTTTATACACAGTAAAAAATTAATAAAATACAACGTACTGTGTATAAAACTCTTCATCTTGAACAGGAACGTAAAACCTCATGGAATTGTACATGTTTGGAAAGCGTTGCAGTAGCGGTCCATCTGAACGACTGATGCATGAACATTGTCCGAGCTCTTTCTAAGTTTCGTCCATTTCACATTTCTTCGAGAATGCATATGGGATTGTTCAACCAACACAAGCGAGAGATCAAAAATGCAAGCGCCGATATACAGCTTTATTAATGTAAAAAAAGATTTTTTTAAGGACATTCGACATGTTAATACGACATATTTCACGATGACATCATGAATGTTATTTTGCATTGCAACGTTGCCAAACAGTATGCATAATAATATAAAATTTAAAGATCGAGATGCATTGCGACGTTGCCAAATAGTGCGCTGCTAATGATATATGTCCCACCCATTGTACTCTTATTTCGCTATAGTATTCGTGCCCATTGCGGTCCTACACTTATCATCGTATTCGCGTTCTCTCTTCTTCTTATATTCTCTCCCACGTTTCCTTTTCTCCTTGTTCGCAATTTTATTAAATAAATATGTTATTTGTTCTACGATCTTTTAATGATATGATTTAGCAATGATTTTAATTTAGCAACTAATTATAATAATATTTTTAGTAATGTAATGTAAAACAAATAGCTAAGCGTTCCTAATTATTGAACCATTATAAACTATTATCGAATAGCTATCGAACATTAATTGTCTACGTCATACTGAACGGCTATCATATAGTTAATTGTAACTAGAAAGAATATTCGTTTCCACTCGCGATAAGAAGAAATAGGAATGTGCAAGTTTTAAAATCACGTGACAAGTAGATGATGTTATAGAAGAGAGCGAAAAAAATATTTTAGGATTGTGGAGGAAACCCAGAAAGAAATAGAGATTAGAATTACAATTTCTTATTATTTAATTTTTATTTTAACAATTTGATTAACTTATTTGAAGAACAATTTTGCGCTTTCTCATCATATATAATTTTTAAACCGCTGAATAGAGGCAGGGAAAAAGGAGATTAAAAATAATTTAAAAAATTCAGTAATATATTTAAGTATTATATTATATATTTTTTTTTATAAAACATTAATTTCTTATTTTAAATAGAATCCAATGTATACAATTTCTGAAGCGCATATTACTAATTCACACTCCATGATTGAAGTTTCATCATAAACTTCACGCAATCTTTTAATGCATCACATACATTAATATTATAATACAATTTCGGCGTATAGTAGACACAAATTGTTGAAATATATTCTATCGCACACGATTTTATTAAAAAAATGTGGTATTTATTTTGCGACTTTTATGATACGTTTACAATAGAAAGATACGAGCACAATTTTAATAATATTTTAATGGTATTAGTTGATTTCTCTCAGTTGAACACGCTATCATATTATGCACTTTCCTCTTAAGTAATTTAATATCACAAAGATATAAAGAAGGAATGATGAAAAGATTAGGGAAAAAAAAATATTCAAAGAAATATATTTTTTAATATAGATTTATTTACGTAATATTTAATGCAGCATGTACAATATAATTTAAATCATGGACTATAAGTTCATTCTATAACAGAATTTTTATTATCAACTTTGTGCAAAGTTTTTTCATTGCGTTTATTAGTAATTTTGTTTTAAAAATGACACAAAATATTTGAATTTTTCACTAACACCATGCATACATTGACTTAGTTTAGAGTACGCATGCTTGACACATTGCTCGAGTTTAAATAAGATGAATACAATTGTTGGTTTCATGTACAAGCATGTACCATACAATGACAATTTTACATTTTTCGTATCATACTTTAACAAGTTCTACGTTCAGATCTTGAATTAGTGGCGATGATAATGATGATGATGAGACAGTTGACTGTATTAATCGCTCAATATCTATACGTCTCTCAATGAACACCTTCCACGTAGCATGAGGCATGATTATACGGTTGCCTCGATTGTTGCTGATCGCAACAATCTATATCTATATCTATTCTACATGAGACGTACGTCCCACGACTATTCCAATGTCCAGAAACTTATACATAGTTAATGTTAAAGCATATCTCCTCATCATGATATGAAGTATGTAGCGAGGTTTCGAAAATGTATGGGAAGATGTATGAAAAGATGCGCTGTAGAAAATAAAAAACATGTAAATGGACCTTAATACGTAAAATATATAATCTTATAAAAATTAAATAAATTTACTGTCTCTCGCACGCCTCATTCTGTTGAATTGGAACGTAATTCATAGCGTCAGACGTTTTCAAGGCAAGTATACTTTGATACAGTAGAAGTAATCTGTTCTATGTAGTAGGAGCGGTCCACAAATCGACTGATGTAAAAAGACTTGTGTATCATACATCTCTTTTTTATATAATGATCCCCACCACAAATTTTCAGAAACTTTTCACTCCACTGAATCCTCAGCGTATGTAGTAAGCCAATTAACAGAATCACTAACAGAGTGAGTACTAACAGAATCGCCATAAGTCTCTCTAATAAGTGATCACCATTTCACATTTTCTTGCAACATATCCAAGTTGTCATTGAGAATTATTATGTTCGCATCAATAGTTATTTTAATTTCGCTATGTGTTCAATTTTACTTTAAATATTAGGTGTTGGAATTAATTCGTAGCGTTTTTAATGAAAGAATGTTATTTATTTCACATGAGCATTAAAAAATACATTAATGAAAGTACTTCCCATCACTTGTAAAACGCTACGAATTAATTCCAACACCTAATAGCAATTTTACTTTATTACGGATATCATTATTACGTTTTATGACATTGAAATAATATATGTTCCACATTGTCTATGTTTGGATAAGCTTCGCTGTACATATGTTCCATCAATAACACCATGAATCGTACAATGACATGTGGGAAAATTTAAATTTATGTAATCATCAAACTTCGAATGACACACATTAATATGATTATATATCTGGTATGTCTTATACTTGGTATACAATATATTACTACGAGTAAGTACATTTCGAAATACAAGTTCTTTATACTGTGACTCATCGACGAGCAATATTGTTTATAAATTTCACACAGAGTAATGTAAACGTACAATTCTTGTATAACGGTTAAAATATAATATCCTCACAAATGTTTTTTGATGCGATGACTACGGTGGTAATTATTCACTGAACGACTGATGTATTAGAGCTCTCTATCGTTCATGAGTTTCACGTTTTTTATTTTATTTATTTTACATATTATAATTTATTTTTATTTTTTCATTTTTTATTCGTTTATTTTTTCCTTCGGACTGTGTATTCAATGTTTAATTTTATTTATTCTTACAATTATGCGAGTTAATTAAGTATAATTGCCATGAAACCTACATTACACTATGCAATGATACATATATAAAAATGCACTTTGAAGATATCAAATCTTATTTTATATCTAAGCAATCAGCGTCAGCAACAATAAAGTCTGTTTTCCCATTCTCTTTTCAAAAATGAGTTTAGATAGTGTATTCCATGGAATTTTCCGTATATTTACAAATATAGTTTTAGTTTTTTAGGGTAATATAACAAATAATATATTTCCATTCAGACGTACACCACCGATATCTAAGTTATCCTAATTGCAAAGAATTTGATGTATGCATCTTCAATGTTAAAAACGTTATGATATCTTTTTAAAGATATAAAAGATCAACATTGTTGATCAACTGATCCCTTAGATAAAAATAAATATTATATTTCTTTAAACATTTGCGATTTACAGGGAGCGTCACTAAAATCCGGACAAATTTCAATTTAAATTTTTCGCTACTATATTGTGTCTTCACCAGAAGTTGTTGTTGGCGTCCGAGAAAGCATGATGCTTCTAATAAACAGTCATATTCTCAAAATAGTCGCGATGTTGATACCAAGTGCAGAGTATAGTCGAAGAGATGCGATCATCGAAGGCCTTCGCGCTGGGCGCTTAGCAACGAAAATAATTTGGATATTGGAGATTAACCGTTTATGATATTGTGGCAAAATATACGGCTTTAGAACAGTTCAAACGAAGGTTCCAGCGAGGAAGAGTTACTCGCGAGAAAGAACGCACCGCGAGGATCCCAGCAGTCATTGAAAGGGCTCAAGCGCTGATTTTGGATGAGGGCAATTGTTGTGCATTCTGATGGATGAAGCCATGGATGGAAATTGTGGCATCCGGAAGGTCATATGTTTTTTAATAGGATCGTGCATCAGCTCATACAAATCATTTGATTCAAAATTGGATCTCAGACAATGTCGATATGTTTTGGTCCAAAGAATTCTGGCCTCCCAACAAGTCCAGATTTAAATTCCTTAAACTGCTACATATGAAGCGTAATTGAAAGAGTCACAAATCGCTCATCAAAGTCCGGACAAATCGAACAATTTTTTTAAACAAAGTGTTTTTAATGAAAAATTAAATATTACAAAAAATCCTTTTACATGGCACTTGGGGGATCCCTGTAGAGGACTCCAATTATTCGATATATTCCCCATTAGCTTGAATGACGACTATTCTGATGCGTTTGCACGCACGCTGTAATGTAGCGCTGTCCATGCCGAATGCTGCTTCAGCGGTCCTTAATGACGTCATATTGGGATGCCGAGACCTGTTTGTGACCCTTTCAACTACACTCCATATGTAATAGTCCAAGGGATTTAAATCTGGGCTGTCAGCAGGCCAGAAGTCTTTGGACCAAAACATATCGATGTTGTCTGAGAGCCAATTTTAAATCAAATGACTCGTATGAGCCGGTGCACCATCCTGCTAAAAAACATATGGTCTTTCGAACCACAGTTTCCATCCACGGCTTTACTGCATCCATCAGAACGCGCAACTACATTTCTTTTGTGATAGAAGAGTTTCCCTCTTTTTAAAGAAATGTGGTGGCATTACATCACCCTCACTGGACATAACACCTAGCACGTGAACATTGGTCGGAAATTTCATTCTGGCAACAATATTGCATATATTCAATATTGCATATTTTTGCAGAGCGCAGAATCTCTTAAGAGTCACAAGGTCAACGCAAGGTCATTACCACAGCCATTGTCTCCAATTCGTAAGAGTAATAACAGCGTTGGTCCGCCGTCATATGTTTACTAAAGTACGCTACTACACTCATTTTACTATCCACTAGGAAAACAGCACCTACGCCGGTTGCGCTTGCGTTCGTATATAGTTCTGTCGGATGATTTGGATTGAAGATCATCAGTACAGGCCGATCCACTAGCTTCTGTTTAATAGTAATGAACGCTCTATCCTGCGTCTCGCCCCACACTCATGGTTCATTTTTTTTCGTAAGCCTCGTCAGTTTGATTATAGCCGCGAAATTTGGAACAAATAAAATCCTAAAACAAAAAATCCTAAAGTAATTGGCCAATCCTATAAACTGTCTCTCTTGCTTGACCGACCATGACATCTCTATGTTCTGTATGGCTTCAATTTTCCGCTGTCCGGGTCGCATCCCCCGTTCGTTAATCTCCCGACCCAAATAATTAATGGACTCGGCGAAGAACGAACATTTCTCTAGTTTAAGGGTTAAGTAGTGTTTGCGAAACGCCTCTAATACTTAGCACAAATGGCTCATATCCTCTTCGACGGTTGTGGAGGGGATTATAACATCATCTAAGTAGGAAATATGATGGTATCTTTTAACGTACCTAATACCTAGTCAAATGTTCGAATAGCCAGCGCATTTGTCAGTCCAAACAGTATACGCAAGAACTCGAAGTGAACCTTGGGGATCACGAAAACTGTCTTTTCGATGAAACCGGATTCTATCGGCATCTGATAATAACCCAATGCCAAATCTAATCCCGTAAAGTAATCACCGAGTTTATCGATCTACCAACAGGAGTGGATATTTGTCCTTAATAGTAATCGCATTCAATTTATAAAAATCGATGCTCGCCATTACTCTTTTTAACGAGTATAACAGGATTCGCATATGGCGATGTCAAGTGCCGGATAATATTATTTTCTCATAACTCGCTAATAATACTTCGCAGTGCTCGTTTCTCCGACTTGGAGAACATTCTATATGGCCTGTAAACTATCGGTTCGTCCGTTGTACAATGTATGTTCATCGCATGAGCGTCCGTTTTTCCCAGATTTGTAACACTAGTCGAAATGCAATCATTGTATTCGCGAATTAAATCTTTCCGTTGTGTCTCCTCGTTAACAGCGCCGATGTGCATTGGACACTCAGTTGATGCGTCTAGAAAATTCACGTCACTCATACGCTCGAGCTGTTTTTCCGCGAAAGGCAACTGTTGAAGCATTGACTCTTGTCCGCGCTTAACTAACATCCACTAGTTCCACAATCAGGTCGTAAATGAGATGATCGTTTGGGACCACAATAGTGTCCACGCTGTTGCCTCCATTATTCGGATATTACACCGCGTCGATTTATCGCTGGTTGTTGCCTGTCCTACGAATCCCCTTAATACATTTAATATTAATTGAACGGCCCACTTATACATTTCGACAACTGAATTTCGCATTAGTGTGCGGCTGCTTCCTATGTAGATCAATCTTTTAAGTCGGTGACCATTAACCAACATCATACGAGTTCCGCGCGGTATCCGTGGCTTTAACAGTGTTTATATTTTTCTTACGCGGACACATGGCAGTTGTATCACCTTTCCATTTATAATTCTCACATACCGCACGTGGCTTACGATATTTTCTGCAAAATGGCCTACTTTTCCGCAATTAAAGCATTAAGATCAACTCGATAAACTTGGTGGATACGTTACGGGATTAGATTTAGCATTGGGTTATTACAATAGTAGCTTACCGTTACCGCCGCCAACGAGCTGGTCAACCGGTGTCACATTTTCATCCACGTCCCGAGCATGCTTCCAGATTTTCGATGATCTTTCTCTCCGATCATCCCTACGCGTTTCTTTCTTTCGCTCGCTTCCTGACGACGATGTGTCCAGCGACGTCATATACACGTGTAATCCACTCGCATTATCCAATTGTGCAGAACGTACTGCCCTTGCTACACTCGCGACTGTTATACCGCCGATAACCGCATCGATCAAATACTCGGGTATAACTAAAATGTCGGGTATAACTAAATCCAACTTGCGCAACTTATTTAATTTATTGAAACAACAATAACCCAAAGCTTGACCACGAGAAGTCTCATATAATGCGGCATCCTTCAACAACTTATTGAATGGTACGGACTTACGGAATTGTTGCATTATCTCCTCTTTTGTCGCTATCCATGTGATAACAACTTCCGGTCTCGTATTGTACCATAATTTAGCATGACCTTTTAAACGGGTTAGTATAAGTCTCATAATGGTGCGATCATTCCATTCATACTACTGTACCAATCCTTCCACGTGCTGTATCCACTTTTCGGTCGTTAGATCATCTCTCGCCGGATCGAAGGGGGGAATCATTAATTCATTTTGATGAATGCACGGACTACGCGCCCGCCGATCTAAGTTCTTTACAACATGCTCGTTTTTCCTTCCATCGCCTGATCGCGACGAAGAAGGTGAACCTTCTTCTATAAACAATACCTCTTAGCTCTCGATTCGATACTCGAGTCACGACGTGACTTATGGCAGTCCATGCCAACGTTGTATCTTGTTACCTCGAGATTTCCGAATACGGCATGTGTTTATCCCGCTTCTAATATGTAAAAAAATCTATTAGACATTATTTGTAAAAATATGGATATACTTCGACTCCTTGATTAATGCGTATAGAGACTGTATGCTCTCTCAAAATGATTGCCATTGACAGCTTAGCTCCCGCTAATCTGATCTCCTTTTCCTCCATACATTCGCTTCCCCCCCCTCAGCACCGCCAGCGATCCTCCGGGATTGGCTGCGTGTATGTGCTTCCCATTGGTTGTCGCATGATCGTGGCGTACCGGCCAATTCTTCGTGTCGAAGAGACTAGGCCTCAGGTAATTTTCTTACAGAGCTGAAACATTATGTGGAGCACGTATACTTTAAACTGTGTCAGTATGAGTGAAGAAATTAAATAATTTTTCACGCCAAAAATTATATTATCAGTAAATTTAGTGCTGTAAATACTTTTCATAAAATTTATGATAAAGCTTTTATTATAGAATGTGAATGGTTCGCGCTTTAAATAATATTGAAAATGAACAACTGGTGAGTGAATATTGTTTTTTAAGAGGACATGTATGAACACCCAATTATAATATAACATTTTATAATACTATTAATATTATTATAGTTCTAGTCATGACTATGTTTCAAGATTGAAATGGCTTTTATTGCACATTAAATAAATTATTATAGAAAATCGTTATTTTAATGATTTATTCAACTTTATTTCAAAAAATATGTATACATATGTATACATTTATATATATATATATATGTTATGTAATATATTATTTTAATAATTCTGTGAGAAAGAAAAAAAAAATTTTATCACAGAAAAAAATGGTATTTTGACCGATTCTTAAACGTTTTTTATCAGAAAAAAACATTTTCTATACGTTTTTCGAATGGACATTTTAATCAATTAGAAATGTTTTCAAGAGCCGGTTATGAAACATTTCAAAGAAACATTTGTGAAACATTTTTTAAACGAATATGTGCTACCTGGGCAGTTTACAGAATTGTCTAGTGTACTTGTATAAATTCACTGAAATATTGAGGTAATAAGATCAGCTTTGGCCGATTATAGGATTTCATTTACCTAATTGAATTGGAATTTATATTTAATTATCTAATTATAAAAACTTTTTTATACGATTTATAGCACATACATATGCATATATATATTATTTCTAGGAAAAGTTGATTCATAAGCATGTCAAAAATCAGGAACAAAAATCTTTTATAAATAAAATTAACGTTTCCTGTAATTAAGATAATTAAATTTTATAAGATACCTATATGTAAAACAAAGAATAAAAAGAATACAAAAAAGAGACTAAATTAATAATATATAATTTTATGAAATATGTTTAGAAACAATATAGATAATATCACGAATTTACCGTTGTATCAGTAGAAAGTTTATGATTGATCACAATAATAAAACAGAGTCATATTGCAACAATTTATTTAATTTTATTATAATTAATATGTAAATAATTGTCATTATTAAGCAATAATTTGATATTGTAGCAGTAAATATAGACCGTTCAAACATTCAAAGAAATAAAGTATTTATTTTTATTTAAAGGATCAGTTGACCAACAATGCTGGTCTTTTATAAAAGTCTTTAAAAAGATATCATAACGTTTTTAAACGTTTTAACATTAAAGATATGCGAGTACCGAATTCTTTGTAATTAGAATAACTTAGATGCCGATGGTGTACGTCTATATGTCGAAAACATATTATTCGTTATAACATTACTCTGAAAATCTAATACTGTATTTGTATTATAAGTAAAATTCTACATCGAATACACCGTTCGAAAGAAAAAATAAACGAATAAAAAATGAAAAAATAAAAATAAATGATAATATATAAAAATAATGAAATAAAAAACGCATGAACGATAGAGAGCTCCAATACATCAGTCATTCAGGGAGTAGTTACCGCCGCAATCATCGTATCAAAAAACGTCCGTGAGGATATTATATTTTGAACATTAAACAAGAATTGTACGTTTAAGTTGCTCTGCATGAAATTGATAAACAATATTGCTTGTTGATGATGCATTTGTATCGCAGTAAAGAACTTAGATTTCGAAACGTAGTGATACTTACTCGTAGTAATACATCGTGTACCAAGCATAGCAGATATATAATCATATCAATGTGTGTCATTCGAAGTTTGATGATTACGTAAATTTAAATCTTCCTACATGTCATTGTACATGGTGTTACCATAATGGAACATACAAGGTGCGTCCCAAAATTTTCCCAACTTTTGAAATAAAACAACAACGGTTTACTTTTTTTTTCAAATTCAAATTGTTTATTCAAAGTAGTCCCCGTCGGACTCAATACAACGTTTGGCACGATCTAAAAGCATTTCAAATGAGTGTTTTATGTCGTTCAAAGGCACGTCCTTCAGAATAGTGGTACAAGCCCTTTGGATGTCTTCTACGTCCACATACCGCTTTCCTTTCATGGACAAATGCATTTTGCCGAATAGGTAGAAGTCACAAGGTGCCATATCAGGCGAATACGGGGAATGGTTGATTGTTAAAATGTGATTTTTAGTCAAAAAATCAGTGACAAGTGTCGAACGGTGAGATGGCGCATTATCGTGTAACAAGCGCCAACTTCCTCCTTCGCGATATTCTGGCCGAATACGACGAATGCGGTGCACCAAACGCTTCAAAACGCTTACATAGAATACAGCATTAACTGTTTGGCCTGCTGGAACGAATTCTTTGTGCACAATACCCTTGGAATCATAAAAACTTCGATGGAATTTTCGTTAATTGTCGATTTTGGGCGACCTGTATGTGCGTCGTCATTTATGTCCTCACGACCGTTCTTGAATCGCGTATACCACTCATAAACACTGGCACGGGCTACACAATTATCACCATAAACTTGTTTCATCAAATTATGGGTTTCGGTAAATGTTTTACCAAGTTTAAAACAAAACTTAATATTGGCTCTTTGTTCGAAGTTCATTCTCGTACCGATGTATACAACATACTGACACTTGAGACGCCATAACTTCGTTTCCACTGAACCAAATGTCATGAAATTTTTACTGGAAGTCAGCTAGGGATGTACCTTTCAAACGCGCAATCGAACACACGGATGGCGCCACCCGACCTATCCCTATTGAAAAAGTTTGGAAAATTTTGGGACGCACCTTGTATAGCGAAGCTAAACATAGACGTTGTGGTACATATATTACTTCAATGTCATAAAACGTAATTATGATATCTATAATAAAGTAAAATCGCTATCTAAAGTAAAATCGCACATACATAAAGGCAAAATTGAAATAACTCTTGATGCGAAAATAATAATTTTCAATGATAACTTGGATATGTTGCAGAAAAATGTGAAATGGTGATCACTAATTAGAGAGACTTATAGCGATATTACTGATTCTGTAATTGGCTCACTACATACGCTGAGGATTCAGTGGAGTGCAAAGTTTCTGAAAATTTGTGGTGGAAATCATTATATAAAAAAGAGATTTATGATATACAAGTCTTTTTACATCAGTAGATTTGTGGACCGCTCCTACTACATGGAGCAGATTTCTTCTACTGTATCAGAGTATACTTCCCTTGAAAACGTCTCACGCTATGAAATATTACGTTCCAATTCAACAAGATGTGCGAGAGACAGTAAGTTTATTCAATTTTTATAAAATTTTGCTTATACATTTTATACATTATGTATTCTTTTAAGACCACTAGACTATTTACTAACTATTTACATGTTTTCTATTTCTTACAGCGTATCTGCTCATACATCTTCTCATACATCTTTGGAACCTACATACCTTATATCTTGATGTGAGGAGATATGCATTGATATTGACAGCGTATAAGTTCTGGATATTGGGATCGCTGTGGGATCTACTTCTCATGTAGAAATTGTGATCAGTGACAATTGAGACAATCGCATAATCCTGCCTCATGCTACGTTGAAGGAGGTTCGTCGAGAGACATACAGATATTAAGCAATTAATTGCAGTCAACTGTCCCATCATCATCATCACAACCAATTCAAGGTCTGAATGTAGAACTTGTTAAAGTATGTGATTTGAAAAACATAAAATTGTTATTGTATGGTACATGCTCGTACATGGAACCAATAACTATAGTCTTCTTGTTTCAGCTCGAGCAATGTGTCGAGAATGCGTACTCTAAACTAAGTCAATGTACACATGATGTTAGTGAAAAATTCAAATATTTTATATCATTTTTAAGACAAAATTGTATTACTAATAAACGCGATGCTGCAAACATTTTGCACAAAATTTATAATAAAAATTCTATTATAGAATGTGAACTAGTAGTCTATGATTTAAATTATATTGTACATGTTGCATTAAATATTAAATAAGTAAATCAATATTAAAAAATATATTTCTTTGAAAATTTATCTCTCATCTCTTCATTATTCCTCCTTCATTCATAATATTAAATTACTTAATAAGAAAGTGCGTTCGGCTGAGAGATCGACTTGTACTATTAAAATATTATTATAAAATTGTGCTTGTATCTTTCTATTGTAAAATCGCATTATAAAAGTTGCAAAATAAATATCATATCTTTTTAATAAAATCGCGTGCGAGAGAATATATTTCATCAATTTGTGACTATACGTCAAAATTGTATTAATAATAAATATAATGCATTAAAAGATTGCATGAAGTTTATGATGAAACTTAAGTCTCCTTTTTTCCTACCTCTATTCAGTGATTTAGAATGAGAAGACGTGAAATTTTTCCTCAAATAAATTAATCAAATTATTAAAACAAAAATTAAATAATATGAAATTGTAATTCTAATCTCTATTTCTTTCTAATCTCGTTTTTTTCACAATCCTAAAAGATTTTTTCTCTCCCTTCTATAACATCATCTGCTTGTCACGTAACTTTAAAACTTGCACTTTCTTGTTTCCATCGCGAGTGGAAACGAATCTTCTTTCTCTATAGTTACAATTAATTATAATGATATAATAATATGATAGCTATTTAGAAATACGATGTAGTATAAGTGTTTCTTGCTACTCGATAATAATTTATAATGGTTTTATAATTAGGAACGCTCAGCTATTTGTATTATATTATTAAAAATATTATTATAATTAGTTGCTAAATTAAAATCATTGCTAAGTCATATCATTAAAAATCTTAAAACAAATACCGTATTTTTTAAATAAAATTGTGAGCAAGAAGGAAAGAGAACGTGGGAGAAAACATAACGGGAAGAAGAGAAAGCGCGAATACTATAATAAGTATAGGATCACAATGATAGAAGAGAGAGAGCAATACTATACGAGTATAGGACTACAGGTAGAACATACATCATTATGCGCACTATTTGGCAACGTCGCAATGCATCTCAATCTTTAAATTTTATACCATTATGCATACTGTTTGGCAACGTATCAAAATTATTCATGATGTCATCGTGAAACATTTCGTATTAACATGTTAAATATTCTTAAAAAAAATCTTTTATTACACTAACATAGCTGTCGTATATCGGCGCTTGCATTTTTGATCCCCCGCTAGTGTTGGTTGAATAATTCCATATGCATTCTCGAAGAAATGTGGTGGAGGGGATGAAACTTAGAAAGAGCTCGGGCAACGTTCTTGCTTCAGTCGTTCAGACGGACCGTTACTGCAATGCTTTCCAAACAATTTCATGAGATTTTATGTTCCTATTCAAGATAAAAAGTTTTATAAACAGTAAGTTTTATTTTATTAATTTTCTTTATACCTTTTTTCTACAGTTTGTTTATCTCTGTTTTCCTTTTTCTTCTATTAGTATTTCCTTTTTCTTATATTAATATATATTACTTTCTTCCGCAGAGCATCTTCTTGTAATAAACTCCGTAATATTAGAAACTTCGTATATTGGAAAGAAAATTTACTACTGACTCTTACAGCTTACAAATATCTAGATCGGAATCGGCGTGGAACTTGTGTCTTTTGAGGAAACTGCAATTGACGACAACCAAAATAACAATATAATTTTGCCTCATGCAATAAGGCGGGCTTTCATCGAAAAATGGATATTGAGCGGTTCGTGCAACCAATCACACATTTATCATTATCGGTCCATGATCTTGTGAGAGAGATCATAAAAATGCGTGATGTGAATGTGGTCAAATAAACATGCGCAATACATGTCTGTATATGAAGCCGTCAACCGTGTTCTTTATGTTCGAACTCGAACATTGCGTCGGAAACGTATACTCTGAGCTGTGCCAGTGTACGGATATCGTCAATGAAAAATTCAAATATTTTGTAACACTTTTAGATGAAAATTGTATCGATAAATGTAATGCTGTAGATTTTTTGCGCAAAATTTATAATAAGAAATCAAATATAGTATGTGTTTAAGCTTTAGATAATATTGTAAACAGTATTAAAAGTAAATGTACATTTTATTGTTAATCGGAAGCAGATACTTAAAATTCGACTTGAAATTAACTGAATTAAATTAAATTAAAGTTCCTTCTTATAAATATTATAAGAACTATATAGTAGACCTACGTTATATAGTAGAAATAAACGCATATTTAAACTATATCTATATATCTGGGTGTATGACATTATTCATTCCTTTCTTATTATCGCAGTGTTATCATATTACGCGCACCGCCAGCATCTTTGCGCTTGATGATACTGTCACGCCCGTATTAAATGTTCTCTCTATTTAAATTATATTAAAAAAACGTATAATAAAATATTTTTGCATGCGAGAAGAAGATACAATGGAGGCGACAACACGACGGGACAGATGACGGCACATAAGAGGAAGAGAGATGGTAAGTATATGTTCTTAGTATATGCAAGCCTTTGTTGCATTTTTAGGGAAGGTGGCGGATGACGAAAAAAACGGAATGCATATAATGGAATCATGCATATCATGTTGTGTAATCCATCGACCGGAGTCCTATGTTTACATAAACATAGGACCCTGGTTATTACTGTTTATATAAACATCGATATTAGCGATCGGGGATCTTTCCGCGCCTATGAATACCCGACGCGCCTCGCTCCTCCCTCAGCGAACCGAAATTAAAACTGATCTAGTATACTTATTGATATGATTCCTTACATTGTAGACACATTTAATAATCAACATAAGAGACTGAATTCACAGTAGAATGTGAGGAGAACCATCCCGTCGCGAAAAAACAGATTTTACTATTAAAAGTATCATTGAAAAACTTGAAAATGAATGGCGTTTTCAATAATATTTTATAGCAATCTGAATGAGTTTTTGCCAATGGTAATATTTTATCACTGGTTAGTAATGTTTTCAATGATACATTAATTTTATAGTTTTATTGCTAAAATGAATATTATTATTGATTAATATCTTATTCCAGAATATACATCATAAAATTATGATAAAAAAAAGTTTTTCCCTAAATTCAGAAACTAATTTTATAATGCTTCGAAACAGTCATCCATCCGGTTGCATACAGCCATCCTTGACTTCTGAAATCGTATGGAAATCGCTGCACTTCGATGATTCACCTATATAATCATGGATGCTATATTTATAGCTATGATACATCTGTTCAATATATAGTCCTGATAGAAATTTGTCCAGTTTAACTGAACATCCAGTCAGCTACAATATTTAATTTTGATGTTATAACGACTATTTTCAGATTAGGAAATCATACGCTGTACTTTGTAGTATCAATTATCATGTATCTCTTTGATTAGAGGTCTCCACAATCTGTCTCTTCTGTCGATAATAGTATTGATACAGTACGGGTTATGTACCATGATGTACCTAAACAGTATGCAGTACAAGTACTGCATACTGTTGACATGTTGCACTATAATATCATGTACACTTTTTGTATTGCTACCATACATTACATTACGCCACTTCGTGACAGTACAGTAACAATATGATAACGGTATTTTATGCGGGTATCATGGAATATTGCATGCTTGGTTATTTGGGGTAATATTTTACTATTGAAAATTTTATCAGCGGTCAATGATAAAATTTTCAGTAGTAAAATATTGCCATTAGTAAAATTTCATTGAAAACACCACTGGATTGTATAAATGAGTAGCTTTCAATGCGAATGATATTCCTATTGACGCGTATCTAATAGTAACTAATATACCATTAGTCGAATGATATCGGACTACATCCAATGATAAAATATTTTACCACTGACCGAATGATTTTCTTATTGAACGCTTCAAGTAATAAAAATCATTCGATAATGATAATGCCGTTGAATCCGTATAATTTTATCATTAGTTCAAATGATTTTATTATTGATCTGAATAATAATACTATTGACACTTTTCGCGACGGGATTGTTTAAACTTTCTCGAGATATATCTGTCATTGACAAAGATAATAAAATTTTTATAGACTGGTATCACAAAAAACATTTTCAGATATTTGTCTTTTTTCTCATCAAGTCATTCCACCATGCCATAAAGTTCGAACTATATCTGAATTAATCGATAGGACAATTTTACTATCCAATCTATCTTTTTACAAAAAGAACTTGAAACTCGCTATCGAGATTTTATTGAATAATAATGGTTACCTTTGAAAATGATTTTTAATCATATCAATAATAGAATTAAAAACTTAGCAATCAACAAATCTAATGACAATTGAGAGAATATTTCAAATTGAGATAATAATTCAAATACTGAAAATGAAAATGAGACATTAAAGAATATGATTGTATTTTCTTACTTTAGATTGATTACGAACAAGGTTACTAATGTAATAAATAAATCAAAAACTATGATAGAGTATTGATGTTTCAACAAATTGGATAATTCATAAAGACACAAAGAAATAAAAACCAAAATATCAAGAAAATAATAATTTATAAAATCAATTGCAATAATTGTGATGTCTCTTATGTTGAACAAACAAAGAGACAGCTTCGAACTAGAGTAAAAAACACTATAAGATTAGACCAATCCAAACACTCAGTGGTCACAAAACACATTAAATTATTAAATTGTCAGAGTTACACTATTACTGGAACTAGAACATAAGAAAAAAAATTAAAAAATTGAAACGGGTAATGTTTTGAAAAATGGTATTAATTTTCACTTATAAATTGGTTTACAATTTAATAATTTTTTTGGTTTTTTTAATTTCGAGCTACTAGAACTAATGGAATGATGTCAACGCGTCAAAAAGAAATTTTTTCATACGTCTTGCGTATCACTACGTATTTTTTTTGTATGACATACGAAAAAATAATTTTTAAATATCTATTTTGTACAAATAAAGTTTCAAAAAGTTTCATATCGATACATTAATTCATTTCTTTTAAAAAAATTCCTGAATAGTCATGTAATTTTTAGTCTTACAAATAAGAAAATTCCCTTAAAAAAAGCCGAGAGAATATATTTCATCAATTTGTGACTATACGTCAAAATTGTATTAATAATAAATATAATGCATTAAAAGATTGCATGAAGTTTATGATGAAACTTAAGTCTCCTTTTTTCCTACCTCTATTCAGTGATTTAGAATGAGAAGACGTGAAATTTTTCCTCAAATAAATTAATCAAATTATTAAAACAAAAATTAAATAATATGAAATTGTAATTCTAATCTCTATTTCTTTCTAATCTCGTTTTTTTCACAATCCTAAAAGATTTTTTCTCTCCCTTCTATAACATCATCTGCTTGTCACGTAACTTTAAAACTTGCACTTTCTTGTTTCCATCGCGAGTGGAAACGAATCTTCTTTCTCTATAGTTACAATTAATTATAATGATATAATAATATGATAGCTATTTAGAAATACGATGTAGTATAAGTGTTTCTTGCTACTCGATAATAATTTATAATGGTTTTATAATTAGGAACGCTCAGCTATTTGTATTATATTATTAAAAATATTATTATAATTAGTTGCTAAATTAAAATCATTGCTAAGTCATATCATTAAAAATCTTAAAACAAATACCGTATTTTTTAAATAAAATTGTGAGCAAGAAGGAAAGAGAACGTGGGAGAAAACATAACGGGAAGAAGAGAAAGCGCGAATACTATAATAAGTATAGGATCACAATGATAGAAGAGAGAGAGCAATACTATACGAGTATAGGACTACAGGTAGAACATACATCATTATGCGCACTATTTGGCAACGTCGCAATGCATCTCAATCTTTAAATTTTATACCATTATGCATACTGTTTGGCAACGTATCAAAATTATTCATGATGTCATCGTGAAACATTTCGTATTAACATGTTAAATATTCTTAAAAAAAATCTTTTATTACACTAACATAGCTGTCGTATATCGGCGCTTGCATTTTTGATCCCCCGCTAGTGTTGGTTGAATAATTCCATATGCATTCTCGAAGAAATGTGGTGGAGGGGATGAAACTTAGAAAGAGCTCGGGCAACGTTCTTGCTTCAGTCGTTCAGACGGACCGTTACTGCAATGCTTTCCAAACAATTTCATGAGATTTTATGTTCCTATTCAAGATAAAAAGTTTTATAAACAGTAAGTTTTATTTTATTAATTTTCTTTATACCTTTTTTCTACAGTTTGTTTATCTCTGTTTTCCTTTTTCTTCTATTAGTATTTCCTTTTTCTTATATTAATATATATTACTTTCTTCCGCAGAGCATCTTCTTGTAATAAACTCCGTAATATTAGAAACTTCGTATATTGGAAAGAAAATTTACTACTGACTCTTACAGCTTACAAATATCTAGATCGGAATCGGCGTGGAACTTGTGTCTTTTGAGGAAACTGCAATTGACGACAACCAAAATAACAATATAATTTTGCCTCATGCAATAAGGCGGGCTTTCATCGAAAAATGGATATTGAGCGGTTCGTGCAACCAATCACACATTTATCATTATCGGTCCATGATCTTGTGAGAGAGATCATAAAAATGCGTGATGTGAATGTGGTCAAATAAACATGCGCAATACATGTCTGTATATGAAGCCGTCAACCGTGTTCTTTATGTTCGAACTCGAACATTGCGTCGGAAACGTATACTCTGAGCTGTGCCAGTGTACGGATATCGTCAATGAAAAATTCAAATATTTTGTAACACTTTTAGATGAAAATTGTATCGATAAATGTAATGCTGTAGATTTTTTGCGCAAAATTTATAATAAGAAATCAAATATAGTATGTGTTTAAGCTTTAGATAATATTGTAAACAGTATTAAAAGTAAATGTACATTTTATTGTTAATCGGAAGCAGATACTTAAAATTCGACTTGAAATTAACTGAATTAAATTAAATTAAAGTTCCTTCTTATAAATATTATAAGAACTATATAGTAGACCTACGTTATATAGTAGAAATAAACGCATATTTAAACTATATCTATATATCTGGGTGTATGACATTATTCATTCCTTTCTTATTATCGCAGTGTTATCATATTACGCGCACCGCCAGCATCTTTGCGCTTGATGATACTGTCACGCCCGTATTAAATGTTCTCTCTATTTAAATTATATTAAAAAAACGTATAATAAAATATTTTTGCATGCGAGAAGAAGATACAATGGAGGCGACAACACGACGGGACAGATGACGGCACATAAGAGGAAGAGAGATGGTAAGTATATGTTCTTAGTATATGCAAGCCTTTGTTGCATTTTTAGGGAAGGTGGCGGATGACGAAAAAAACGGAATGCATATAATGGAATCATGCATATCATGTTGTGTAATCCATCGACCGGAGTCCTATGTTTACATAAACATAGGACCCTGGTTATTACTGTTTATATAAACATCGATATTAGCGATCGGGGATCTTTCCGCGCCTATGAATACCCGACGCGCCTCGCTCCTCCCTCAGCGAACCGAAATTAAAACTGATCTAGTATACTTATTGATATGATTCCTTACATTGTAGACACATTTAATAATCAACATAAGAGACTGAATTCACAGTAGAATGTGAGGAGAACCATCCCGTCGCGAAAAAACAGATTTTACTATTAAAAGTATCATTGAAAAACTTGAAAATGAATGGCGTTTTCAATAATATTTTATAGCAATCTGAATGAGTTTTTGCCAATGGTAATATTTTATCACTGGTTAGTAATGTTTTCAATGATACATTAATTTTATAGTTTTATTGCTAAAATGAATATTATTATTGATTAATATCTTATTCCAGAATATACATCATAAAATTATGATAAAAAAAAGTTTTTCCCTAAATTCAGAAACTAATTTTATAATGCTTCGAAACAGTCATCCATCCGGTTGCATACAGCCATCCTTGACTTCTGAAATCGTATGGAAATCGCTGCACTTCGATGATTCACCTATATAATCATGGATGCTATATTTATAGCTATGATACATCTGTTCAATATATAGTCCTGATAGAAATTTGTCCAGTTTAACTGAACATCCAGTCAGCTACAATATTTAATTTTGATGTTATAACGACTATTTTCAGATTAGGAAATCATACGCTGTACTTTGTAGTATCAATTATCATGTATCTCTTTGATTAGAGGTCTCCACAATCTGTCTCTTCTGTCGATAATAGTATTGATACAGTACGGGTTATGTACCATGATGTACCTAAACAGTATGCAGTACAAGTACTGCATACTGTTGACATGTTGCACTATAATATCATGTACACTTTTTGTATTGCTACCATACATTACATTACGCCACTTCGTGACAGTACAGTAACAATATGATAACGGTATTTTATGCGGGTATCATGGAATATTGCATGCTTGGTTATTTGGGGTAATATTTTACTATTGAAAATTTTATCAGCGGTCAATGATAAAATTTTCAGTAGTAAAATATTGCCATTAGTAAAATTTCATTGAAAACACCACTGGATTGTATAAATGAGTAGCTTTCAATGCGAATGATATTCCTATTGACGCGTATCTAATAGTAACTAATATACCATTAGTCGAATGATATCGGACTACATCCAATGATAAAATATTTTACCACTGACCGAATGATTTTCTTATTGAACGCTTCAAGTAATAAAAATCATTCGATAATGATAATGCCGTTGAATCCGTATAATTTTATCATTAGTTCAAATGATTTTATTATTGATCTGAATAATAATACTATTGACACTTTTCGCGACGGGATTGTTTAAACTTTCTCGAGATATATCTGTCATTGACAAAGATAATAAAATTTTTATAGACTGGTATCACAAAAAACATTTTCAGATATTTGTCTTTTTTCTCATCAAGTCATTCCACCATGCCATAAAGTTCGAACTATATCTGAATTAATCGATAGGACAATTTTACTATCCAATCTATCTTTTTACAAAAAGAACTTGAAACTCGCTATCGAGATTTTATTGAATAATAATGGTTACCTTTGAAAATGATTTTTAATCATATCAATAATAGAATTAAAAACTTAGCAATCAACAAATCTAATGACAATTGAGAGAATATTTCAAATTGAGATAATAATTCAAATACTGAAAATGAAAATGAGACATTAAAGAATATGATTGTATTTTCTTACTTTAGATTGATTACGAACAAGGTTACTAATGTAATAAATAAATCAAAAACTATGATAGAGTATTGATGTTTCAACAAATTGGATAATTCATAAAGACACAAAGAAATAAAAACCAAAATATCAAGAAAATAATAATTTATAAAATCAATTGCAATAATTGTGATGTCTCTTATGTTGAACAAACAAAGAGACAGCTTCGAACTAGAGTAAAAAACACTATAAGATTAGACCAATCCAAACACTCAGTGGTCACAAAACACATTAAATTATTAAATTGTCAGAGTTACACTATTACTGGAACTAGAACATAAGAAAAAAAATTAAAAAATTGAAACGGGTAATGTTTTGAAAAATGGTATTAATTTTCACTTATAAATTGGTTTACAATTTAATAATTTTTTTGGTTTTTTTAATTTCGAGCTACTAGAACTAATGGAATGATGTCAACGCGTCAAAAAGAAATTTTTTCATACGTCTTGCGTATCACTACGTATTTTTTTTGTATGACATACGAAAAAATAATTTTTAAATATCTATTTTGTACAAATAAAGTTTCAAAAAGTTTCATATCGATACATTAATTCATTTCTTTTAAAAAAATTCCTGAATAGTCATGTAATTTTTAGTCTTACAAATAAGAAAATTCCCTTAAAAAAAGCCTTGACTTATTAATTATATTGCGTTGCATGTACACGAGCCTATTTTTTTATATTTTTTCTGACCTATAATATCAGTTCATTCCAAAACGTTTGACAATCAATAGTTGTTTTATTATACACAATTTTTGATTTCGATTCAATAGACTATTCTATTAGGTGCGCAACTAAGTTCTCGCTATTATTTTGATGAAAATGCTATCAAAATAACAGCGAGAACTTAGTTGCGCACCTAATATTATATATATAAATTAATGTAAGTGTGAACATAACTTCTCATTATTATTAAATTAATCATATTAATCATTTAATTATAAATTGACATTTAATTATATAGAATATAATAGAATAGCCGTTGAAGAAATCTTCGATCGGATTATCGTATTTTTTATTAAATTATTGTCTGAGCTGGATTCTCGCTAACAAAAACTGAAGAATTAATAAAACACACTTGTACAATTTAGACTTCTAAACTTCTGATTGAACACCTATTTCGATCTTTAATATCCTAACGCAGGAATAAGTATATAAAACTAGATTAGAACAATTATTATATAGATTATTACAATGTAAGTTCGTTGACTTGTAAGTTATATAGAAATGTTATTATTTATTATCACTGAAGGAGATTGTAAGTCAAAATGTTTGATGAATTTTGTAGCAGTCTGCATATATAATTAAAAAACATTATTTTATTTTATTTTTTGAGTTAACAGTAATTGCTTGTTTAAAAAAAGCTTTGACATATTAATTATATTGCATTATATTGAAATTATTTTGCAACTATTTTCTACATTGTTTATCGTTTTGAGAAATAATCCGTAATAATTAATTGTTAACTTGGATCACGTTCTTGAGTACGCTATCTATCTATACGAAGAAAGAATAACGACCTATATCATTCGTTGAGTCATGCGTAGAAAGTGCTTCGCGTCTCGGATCAAGTAGTGAGATACACAAATGTTGTTTATTGCGATTGTGTAAATCGCAATTTATCACGAAATGGAAATCGTAACGTATACAAAATAAGCGAGCTAAAGAAAATGCTTCTAATTTATTGTTGAATAATGACTGGCGATGAATTATTACTTGACGCGCATTATCTTATCTGATCGAAAATTGTTCGACAATTGTGAACGTAATGTGATTTGCAAATGAAACAAGAAAGAAGCAAGAATCACAATATCATATACAATTCAATTTCTATATATTTTATATCTTTTTATGTTGATGTTAGAATAAGTTTGCTGATGTTGCTTGAATAATCCTTAAAGAATTTTGCACTTAAACGAGTGCGCTTAAATGTATACTTGGATATGAAAGAAAGAAAGCGGATATTTTCAGTGCAAAAAGAGCAAGCAACGCGAATAAACTTATACTGTCTTATCTTAAAAGCAGTATAGATGAATGAATATCTATTGCAATGCAGAGAATGTTCAAAGCTAACAATAAGAGAAAAAA